CTCTCTCTCTCTCTCTCTCTCTCTCTCTCTCTCTCTCTCTCTCTCTCTCTCTTCTATCTTTAAAAAATATTTGTAATACTTGAGGAAGGTCTGTTTATGTGCCGCATTTGATCCTACTTTCTTATTAATGATAGTGGCATTTTTGTTTGATATAAATTTATCTTAAGTTAAAATAAATAATAAAACTTAATTTTAAATCCTTAAAAATTAAGACTACTTATGGTTTTCAGATATAGCAAACATCAAGACAGTGGTATTCAAATGACAGATGCTAAGAACCAATGACCAATACCATTATGTCTATACCCCTTCACATGGCACCCAAGATCTTCCCCACCTGAGGGTCCCTCTTCAGTCCCCTGCCATCAGATTCTCCACCTGAATGCTCCCACCCCCAGGATGACCAAGATGCCAGGAGGTCAGTAGTGTTATGCCCAAGTACTGGGGGCTAGGAGAAATGCAAGAGGCCCATGAATAGCCAGGTCAAATCCAATGTATAGGTTCTGTATTCCTACTCTGAGAATCCCAAATCAGTTTTGCTCCCAAATCTGAAACATTTAGAGCACAGAAATAAAAATGCAAGTGGAAAATTTCATATGTGACCTCATGTATATAGGTGTAAATGAAATATATTGAGTTTTGTGTTTAGACTTAGGTCCCCATCTCCAAGATATCTTATTATGTGTATACAAATATTCTGAAACCCAAGTATCCAAAATCCAAAACACTTCCCGTCCCAAATTTTTCAGATAAGGATATTCCACCTCTCCTGGTCTTTATCCAGTTTTCCTTTCCTTGTGTGGTTTGATTTCCCCTAGAATCCACAGCTTACTGTGCTGCAGACCATTCTCATATGGGTCAAGTATTGCAGTGAGTGTTGAAGCAACCAGTTCCCTTGGGCCCCGTGGGCCTGGCCAGGTCAGGAGTCAAATGCCACATGAAAGTACTGCCAGGTAGGTACAAGTGTGATCTGAATCCCAGGCCCCGACATGTCACTCATCTGTCCTGGAGCTCCATGTAACCCCTAAGCACAGGATCTTGCTAGCACTGGGTTCAAAGCCTGCGAGATCCTCAGGGAGGCATGTCAGCTCTTATTTTACTTGTCTGCCAAATGAGGGTAACAACAGCCCCTGCCTTATGGGATTATTGTGCACATAAATGGATTTGTATCAGCACAGCATTTAACACAATGCTAGTTCAAAATAAGTGCTCAATAATCACAAACTGTTTTCTGGTCATCTTTTGTGTACTTCTACTTCCTTCATTGCAAAATGTAAATGTGACAGTACTCACCTCCTGAGACTGTGTCAGGGATCGGGAGTCAATGCACGTAAATCCTTTGTATCCTGACCTGGCTGCTAGCAAACACTCAGCAACATGCAAATATTTATTACCTATGTTTACTTATTATCAGTATGATGATTTTGATGGATCAGCAGTTCCAAGACTTAGAAGGTCTCTCCAGTTCTAGTATCTGTTTCAGGATAGGCTTGAAGGCCAGAAGCTCAAATGTACCTAAATCATGCCTGTGTGCTCAGTGGGACTGAAGGTACAGGTCGGCCTGCAGGTGTCCAGCAGCATGTGAGCTGCTCCTTCTCCTACCAAGGTGACTGCTTTTGAGTAAAGAAGCACAGGTTCTACCTGGCCAGCTGGATTTGCACAACCAGGCCTGCGTGCAAGTTAGCTATTTCAGGAAGGCTACGAAGAAAGGAATTCTTTCTCTTTCTACAAATAGGCAACAATGAAAAGGGCAAAGGACTTTGCAGGTCCTCCAAAGTGTACCTGACTGCAAGGGAATGTAAACCCATAAACTTAAAAAGTACAGAAGCCAAATGATATTTTCTCTGTGTTTCAAGAGCTAACAGGATGATTTTTTTTGGTCCCTTTCTCTCCTTAGAGAGCCTTCAGGGATGCACAGTCCTGTTTATGGAGCTCTGGAAGCAGTCCTGAATTGTCATTGAACTTACGTGGCTGTCTGGATCAGTCACTTCTGATTGGACCTCAGTTTGTCCACTTGATAAATGAGGATGTTGGATTATATAACATCCAACATAGTGTCTAGCAATCACTCATTGATTTTAATCCTGTTAAGAACTGGAAGTTCATTCCCTGGAGTCTAATTCAACTTTTAAAAAAATATATATTTTTTTTAGTTGTAGTTGGACACAATATCTTTATTTAATTTATTTATTTTTATGTGGTGCTAAGGATCAAACCCAGAGCCTCACACACACTAGGCAAGCACTCTACTGCTGAGCCACAACCCAGCCCTCTAAATTCAACTTTTTGAAGGAACCAAGAGCTGGTTCTGTAGGCTCCAAAAGAACTTTCAGACCAAAGGTCATCCTCTGTAATCCATGGTAGGTTGCCAAGGCCGGCAAATCCTTGCATGGACAACTGTGTGCATCCAAGTGCTGGCAGAGCTAGCAATTGGTTTCTCTGCCTAGTTTTTTTGCCCCTCTCTTCTAGAAGAGAATCTATTTTTGTCCCTATTGGGAACTACCCCTCCCACAAGCTGTGAGGCTGTCAATCCCACGGCCTCCCCCTCCAGCTCCCTGAAATACGGTCATTGGGTGTATGATCTAAAAAGGATCAACTACCCCTTGAGGAGACAGATGTGGATTCTGGGAGGTCAAGAGGGTCTCTTCTAAAAATCCCCCAATACTCAAAACTATTGGGAGACAAGCCGTCTTTGCCATTCATTGAGGGGAGAGAGCTTAGAAGAGACAGAGCCAACCGAATGGAAAGTTCAGGGGAAGAAGACAGGAAGAGAAGGAGGAGAGAGGAAGAGTTAGAGGAAGAGGAAGAAAAGATGGAAAGGAGAAAGAGAGGGAGGGATAAGGAGAGATGGGGAAAGAGGGAGAGGGAAGGACCAAAAGATGAGAAAGAGAGGGAGGGAAGAAGATTGTACTAATGACTTAATATCTTGATTTGAACCTCTATAGAGCTAGCCAGACATGATGGAATATTTATAGTTTGTTTTTCCAGTTTATATGAGTCCATGACTTTTTTTGTTTGTTTTCCTTCCAAGTCCATAGGATTCTTCCAGTGGGTATTCATTCCCCCCCAAATATTAAAGACCGATACAATTGGAATATTAGAGATGGAGTGAACTCACTTCAGAAAGAAAACAAGGTTTATTTGATGAATATAAATAAGGCGATCAGCACAAAGTACTTCTCATACACATGATAACAAATTTATGAACTGTACATACCTTGTACATTGTACTTCTACTAGACACAAGGTTACAATGACTGGCTAATACATGCCCACTGGTAGTTTCCAGGGTTCCTTATTTTTATTTTTATTTTTTTCATATCGATGTCCATAATCACATGGTCAATATCACAACCCACATGCCACTCACTTGAAGAAATATTACAAGAAGCACTATCAAACGAGGGTCTCAGGGAAGTAGATACACTGACCCCTGGCAGCATTCAAACGCCACTCTACACAAAAAAAAAAACGTCGCAGAGAGAGCTGATGTCAACACGTTTGAGGTCTCATCAGAAACACTGTTTAAAAAGTAAAACCCACTCTCAAATGGAAGTCGACACGCTGTTAACGTGCACACTGGATACACAAAAATCATTAAATACAAAATTGAGACTGTACATAGAAATCAAATGGGGTAGAAATTACAAGCCTGCGTCTGCCCACAGAAAGACTTAGACCAACTTTTCCTAAATGTTAGCCCAAACTTTTTTTTTTCCAACTGCATTATGATTAGAAGGGAACTTGCTAAAGTTTGTGCAAAGGAAATAGCTTCCCAACTTCACAGTGTTTGTTGTAAACCCAGAGGCTATTTTCAATGTGTGAAAGGGATTTTTTCATGTGTGTGTAACCCCCAAACATTAGAGAATATGACATGAAATGAGAAAAAGATACTGTAGATAGAATTTAATTTTAAGAGACTAAATTAGATGCTTGCATATAGGTAAGGTCAATCATACTTTCAACCAACAAAAGTAGGGTCAAAATGATCCCCCAAACAATATCTGTGACAAAATTGGCACGGATATAGAAATAGCTAACTATTATGGTCAAGTGTATTTATTTGTATTTAAAAAAATTTTTTTTCCCTATTTTAAGGACCCTACTTTCCCTACTGGATTTCGTACTTCCTACTTCAAGTATTTAGTTGCAGAGTTTAGGCCAGGACCTGGTTACAGGAGGCAGTGAGGACAAACTGTTCATGGGGATGTGTCTGTGGCCTGTGGTTTCAGTGCGACATCATGTCAAAATGTACTAAATAAGCTTGCAAAGAACTCTGCTCACTCCTCCAACCGAGACCTAGATCCCTTGAATAGTTAAAGGACAAACTTTTTAAACATGAATGTATTTGGATTGTTTATGCAACACGAAAGCTTTTACATAGTTTGCTATCCTGACGACAAGAACAAAGCCAGAAGCAAGAAACCAGCTTGAATATATGACTCCTGATGCACCGAGAGGGAAGGGTGCAGCTTAGAGATGGTTTTATCTTCCCCAACAAATAAGAAGTTTGTCTTTTAATATCTCTATGGCTCACGAGAGAGGTCCAGAGTTAATTGCACCAACATTTTAAAAAGTAATAATGACTAAATTCAATGCAGGACTTCAGGAACATCTGTTTAGAATCCTTTCCACAGCAGCAAAAAAAAGACAACTATATTTATTAAGGCCACTCATGCTTAAATTCACTGTTTGTCCTTTAAAAATGCAGGTTTTCATCTCCCACTTGCATCCACGTGGAAGGATTTCTTCCATCGACAAGAAAATGGATCAATACAAGAGTTGCACGTGTTTTGCCAGACTCAGTCGTGAGTTTTACGAAGTTACTACAACTTTAATTTTTTTGTTTTCATCTTCAGAGGAAGCAGTAGGAGTTGAATTCTCCTTAGTACCATGTCACTATATGTAAAAGACCTTGAAATTGGGTCTCTTTCCCTGGCATGTGCTTTAAATAATGACTCTGTATCCACATACGTGTTGTGTCAGGCTATATACAGATACACAGCTTTGGGGATTATTCCTCATTCATCAATGTTTTTGTGTTTGATGCTGAAAATGCTTTGGAATCCATGTTGCAGACATTTAAAAAAAAAAATGAGAAATGACCCTTCCTGTCTAGAAGATCTAAGCTTACACTGTTTGCACAGCTTTTGGATCTTGAAGTGTGAAGGCGTCCCAGCTTCTTCATGGAGACCTGGGAGTACGGGAATGGTAACAGCCTGAGGCTGGATCAATCCCAGCCCTGGGATGCAGGGAACACAAGGAGTTGATATGCAGGCGCCTCAGGCTGTTGCCACTTCCAATACCTAAGCAGGGAAAGAAAATCATGAATGAACAATTTAGATGTGCCATGCATTGTCAGAGACACACACCATATTCTCATAAGGCGATTTCTTGGCAAGTATTAGTGGTTTAAAAAATTGATATCATTTCCAACCTGGCCCAGAGGTAACTACTGGTTTGTACCATCAAAAACACGGTTCTTCGAACAGCGGATTAAAGAAACAGAGGAGGGTAAAGGCTCGCCCTTTTTGGTGTTTTGGTTTCTTTGTCAAATGCTCCTTGCACCGTGGTTGACAACACCACCAACACCACTCACTCGCGCGCGACAAATGTACACTGGTTGGTAATCTAATGCATTAGGAATGACCACTGAGACGGAACCAGCAGGATAACTGGAGATGAAGCTAGCGGTCCAACAGAAGTTGAATCCATACTTAAAATCCCATGGAGTTCCAACATATCCAATGAAGGTAAGTAACAGAAATAAAATGCTATCAAATAAATGCATTCAGAAGAGATGGTCCCATGTTCAATGTCCAAATCCCAACATAAAATGGAGGATGTGTCATTTTTCTCCATCTGTGTATTCTTCCTTTCCAATCCAAATCCATGAGAAAAGACATGAGAGGATGAAGGAAATACCAAGTCGAACAAAACTGCACTGGAGAATGAAAGTGAAAACTCCCCTTTGGTTCTGCTGAGCCGCTCCCGGTGGTGGTGGAGGACAGTGACATGAGCCCACTGCAAAGGAGTGTCAGAATATTGCCGCAGAGCTGCACTTCCCCTGGGTTCAGCCCTTCTGATAGCTGCAACAAGAAAGGGCATGATTTAGCGGGGAGAGAAACAGGCTGCAATATCTGAACTAAGCCTGGCAGAATTTCTCCCATCCCCCACCCCAGCATTGCCTCTTTGCCACTCTCTTGGGGAAGGGACAATGGGGAGGGAACACAGAGAAGGGACAAAGTGAACAGAAAGTTAAACCATGTCCTGCAAACGCAGCTGAGAAGATACCTCACTCAAGCTATGTCACATTATAGGTACACAGAGAAGAGAGACAGGCCAAAAGGTTTCAGTGATTATTTCTTTTTTCTTTTTTTTGGTACCAGGAATTGAACCCAGGAGCACTTAACCACTGAGCCACGTCCCCAGCCCTTTTTATATTTTATTTAGAGACAGAGTCCTGCTGAGTTGCATAAGGGCCTTGCTAAGTTGCTGAGGCTGCCTTTGAACTTGCATTCCTCCTGCCTCAGCCTCCCAAACTACTGGGATTACAGGTGTGCGCCACCAGGCCCAGCTCCATGATTATTTCTACATGACAAAAATTTGCGTCTCCCCCACTGCCTAAAAATTTTTTTTACAATGACTCTGGTTTTAATTTTTTTAAAAAACTTATCTCTTAGAGATTAGAGAGTTAAATACAGTTAAGATACCAAAAACACTCTTTCACATTTACTTATACACCATCAACAGCAACCGTTTGAAAGAACGTTGGAGCAGTGATTCCACTCATAGGTAGATAGCCAACAGGTCTGAAAATAGGAACTCAGATACTTGTACATAATTATTCAAAGTATAATTATTCACAATAGCCATTCATCCCCAGATGAATGGAGAAATGAAATGTGGCATGGGGGTATAAAAAGAAATGAAGTTCTGAGGCAATCCACAAATGGATGGATCTTGAAGATGTCATGAAGCGAAATAAACTACACCCTCTGCCCCCAAAAGACAAGTACTGTATGATTCCTTTACATGAAATATACAACATCGACCAATTCATAGATGCAAAAAATAGATTATAAAATTACCAGAGGCTCGAGAGAGTGGGAGGGGAATGGGGAGTTTTTTTGTCAATGGGTACAGAATGATTTGGGGTAATGAAAAAGTTCTGGAAGTAAATAGAGTAGTACAATCTGGTAGAGTTACTCAGCGCCACTGAAACATACTCTTAAAATGGTTAAACTAGTAAACTTCATGTTATACAAGAGAAATTTTAAAATAATATTGACATCTCCTTAAATAGAGATTGCAACAGAGTTGGCTTCCATCACCACATCCCATGGCGTGAGCATATCCTTCTCGCCAAACATGGATGCAACAGTCATCTACGTGCCTTCTTCATTCCCTGGGGATAGGCGTCCAGAGTGCTCCAAACTGTTATCACCATCCAGGGTGGGATATGGGATTGTGAAACACAACTGCAGCCTGGGTGAAGAAGAGGGCACCGCACAATTGTCCTGAGCTGGGTGAGCAGAGGGGACCATCCACACTGCTTTCTTCCATGGCTGATGCTCAGTGTGTGTGTTTCTGTCATTGTTATTCACATGGGGTCTCTGACTGCTTGGGGAGTTTCCAGACACAGGGCAATGGCTCAGCGATCCATCTGGGGACCACTGCAGGGAGGGGAAAGATCAAACACACACACATCACACTCATGCCTCGTGCACACACACAGACACCACATTTTTCAGATAGCCTGAGCCATCTGATTTGGTGGTTGCTACACCACATTTCTCAGGTCATACCGACTAATGAGAATGCCAAAGACTCTGGTGTCTGCACAGGTAGGCAGCTATTTCAAGCCATCATTAAGCAATGCAAATGAAATATGTGGCTTGGATGAACTCTGCTAATTCATACTCTGAGGAGTTTGGTGTAACTCTTCTGGTTAAGAAACTTGAATCGGGGCAAAAAAAAAAAAAAATGACTTTTGCAGAGCCAGAAAGTTAGGGAGTTCCTAGAGCAGATCATATTACTCATTCTGGCACATAAAATCTCTGCAAACTTTGTATGAAAATTGTAAGTCAGAGCACGCCTTCTGTTTCATGAGTTGTGCATAGCTCTAATTCTTTTGTGCATTAAGCATTTCTTAATCATCCTCTTAAAGGGCTGAACAATATAATAAGAGGCCACATGATTAAAAGGTAAAGAGAAACCCAAAGCAGTATTAAAATGCACAGGTCTTTTTTTTTTTTTTTTTTTTTTTTTTACATATGGGGAAACGAGTGAAAAATAATTACGGTGAATGTCCAGTGTCCTTGATGTTATTCCAAGATAAAGTAGCAAAGAACAATCATTTATTCAGTCCTGAGAAAGGTTTCCAGCTGAGCAACAGGTCACGGGGTAGAATACGGGACCTCCTGAGTGCAGCTTCACTGTTTGGGGTAAGGTTTACTCTGTGGAGATTTTCTTGAAAAGTACTCCTCCATCAAAAAATCCATTCACTGAGCGGCTGAAATTGGCTGGTCGGGGGGATCCTCAGATGATCCCTTGTTTAGGGCCACATGAGATTATGTTTTTAAAAAAGGAATCTTGGCTTCGGTCAATGAAGCAATGGGGTTGCTTCACCCATTTGGTGGTTGCTAGACAGCATTTCTCAGGTCATACCTACTAATGAGAATGCCAAAGACCCTGGTGTCTGCACAGGTAGGCAGCTATTTCAAGCCATCATTAAGCAATGCAAATGAAATATGTGGCTTGGATCAACTCTGGCCAGTCCTCCCTCACCTGGATGGTGAGGCCAGCAGCCCTAACTACCCCCAGAATCCTCTTCGACAGCACCCAACTCTGCAGTCTCTTGGAGCAGCCAAAAATGCCATTTCCAGGGGACAATCACTCCATCCTACAGTCCCCATTTATACTTTATAACCCTGTTTACAGCCCGTTTACAGTCCTGTGGCCCCAGAATGGCAGACCCATGCCTCAGGCCACGCTGGAGAGGCCTCCTTTGGACTCTCTTTTGAGCTCAACTCTCAGCTCTAACAATCGTCTCTTCAGTTCCACCTATGCTGAACTTGCTGTTCCTTTATTCTCACTGCTTGTCTCTCTAACATGCACCCACAGCAGCTGTCAATCTGATTTAATACCCATTTCTTCTTCAGTCTCCACCTAGAAGTTGTGCCTTCTAGGAATCCTTCATTGCAGGATCTCAAAACTGCTGTGCATGGGTGGCCACTGAGCACTTGAAATGTGGCTGGTCCACACTGAGATATGTTGTGAGACTGAAACACACATCAGATTTTGAAAAAAAATTTAAATCAGCCTTTATTATTATTTATTTATATGTGGTGTTGAGAGTTGAACCCAGTGCCTCACACATGTTAAGCAAGGGCTCTATTACTGAGCCATGACCCCAGCCCCGATTTTGAAAATTTAATATTAAAAAAAGGTAAATAATCTGTGTGACATTTAAAAATTTTGTTGTTGTTGTTGTTTGACACAATACCTTTATTTTGTTTATTTTTATGTGTTGCTGAGGATCAAACCCAGTGCCTTGCAATGAGCTAGGCGAGCGCTCTATCACTGAACTACAATCCCAGCCCTGTGTGACTTTTTTTTTTACACCGATTTCATGTCAAAATGATATTTGAGATATACTGAATCCAATAAAATATATTACCATCCAATAATACTTCTGCTAAACCGTCACAGTCTAGACTGTAAGCTCAATGAGGGCAGGGCACAAAGGCCAGTCTTGCTCACTTGGGATCTCTCGTTCCTTATACAGTCTCTAGAATAGGTCAGTTTACTCATTCCTTCCACAGATATTAGTCATTAGAGGCAGAATCCTAATGTCTACCTTCCTCCGTAAGATTTCCCACCATAAATCCCTAACGCTGGAACTAAAACGATATCAGATGACCATTGTACAACTCTACAAAGGTATTGAAGGGTACTAACAGTTGACTTTTAAGTTCACCAAAAGGGAGACTACTGTCTGAATGGACCAAATGTAATGACAGGAGCCCTCATTAGCAGAGACTTTCCTCCCCCTGTTGCAAAAAAGAAAGTCATTGAAGTCTGGTACACCTTAGAGGTTCAAGTGCTGACTCAGAGAGAGCCATAGGGTAAGAACCTGAGAGCTTTGTTCAGGTTGTGAGGTAGCTCCCAGCCAATGGGCAGCAAGAAAACAGGAACCTAGGTCCTAAAATGATGAGACTCTTCAATCTGCCAATAACCTGAGTGAGTGTGCAGGAGGATGCTTCCAGAGCCTTCACTCAGCCAATGAGCCCCATCCCCAGCCTTATTTCATATTTTATTTAGTGAGAGGGTCTCGCTGAGATGCTTAGCACCTTGCTGTTGCTGAGCTGGCTTTAAATTCCTGATCCTCCTACCTCAGCCTCGGGAGCAGCTGGGATTATAGGCATGCAAATCTCACCTGGCCATCTGTTTTTTGATAGGAAAAGATGTCCCCAACTTTTCAGTGAAAAAAAAAAAAAGGCAGATTACCATTGTATAGGAATAATTCAACCTTATTTTTACATCTATATACGCATAAATGTAAACATTTGCAAGTGTACATACCAGAATATTAATATTTTCCTCTGGGGGTTGTTTAGAAGTTTTCTACTTAGGATTTTTTTTTTTTTGGCCTTATTTTGGATATTTTAAACTGAAGAATGTGTGAATAGTATCTTACTAAAATAAAAAGCTATTTCCTTTGTGGGAAAAAAAAGAATCGGTCCTGGGTGGATGGTGTTGCTTGGCTCAGGGGCGGGAGCAGGAGGGGCGGTGGGCCAGGCCAGAACAGCAGTGAGATTCCACCCCAGGACAAGCGCCCCCAGGAGAGCAGGCTATAAACCTGTGGTGTCTCACAAATATTCCTTCAGACTGTTTTTCTTTGGAATAAAGACACCTGCCCGATTATGGCTTTCTTCTCCTGCCCTTTCAGTAGTGATTTGCAGGAACAGGCTGGGAGAAAGGGGTCTTTGGTAAACACGGAGGGGTTAAAGGGGAAACTGTTTAATAACAGTAGTAAAACGCAGGCTATTTTTGACATCTGGGCTAATGTCCATTATACTCCATG